AGTAAAATAAAAAAAAAATTATTAATTTAATATATTTTTAGGTGCTAAACAATATTACTTAGTATATGAAATTAGAATTAATTTGTAAAATATTGCAATTTTAAGATTTTATAGAATTTAATTAATAAAATTTTATAAAATCTTATAATTCGTGAATTTTTTTTAATTTATTCTAACTTTATATACTAAGAAAACTTGTTTAGTGTTTAGAAATATATTAAAATGATAGAATTATTTTTATTTTACTTGAGATTTAGAAAATAGATACATAGTTTTAGAATTTTGATCAAAAAAGTCAAATTTAAGCATCATTTCTCCAAATTTAAGTAAAATAAAAAAAATTTGCTAGCTTAATGCATTTTTAGATACTGAACATATTTACTTAGTATATAAAGTTAGAATTAATTAAAAAAAATTCATGAATTATAAGATTTTATAAAATTTTATTAATAAAATTATATAAAATCTTATTATTTGCAATATTTTACTAATTAATTCTAATTTTATATACAATGTAATATTGTTTAGCATCTAAAAACATCTTAAATTAGTAAAATTGTTTTTATTTTACTTGAAATTTAGAGAAACAATGCTTAAATTTAACTTTTTTGATCAAAATTCTAAAACTATGTATTTATTCTCTAAATCTCAAATAAAATAAAATAATTCTGCTATTTTAATATATTTCTAGGTGTTAAACAAGTTTACTTAGTACAAAAAGTTAGAATTAATTAAAAAAAATTCATGAATTATAAGATTTTATAAAATTTTATTAATAAAATTCTATAATATCTTAAGATTTTATATTAATATAGTATTGGAAAGTTCTAGAGCATTTGTTTTTCACAAAAAAATGCAAACTAGTATTGGCAGTGCAAACCTACGATAAGTTCTTGAAACCATAAAAAACTAACAGAAAGAACCTGAAAAACCAAAACCAGCTTGCAAGACCCAAGTTTGAAAGTAACTAGACTTTTGATAGCACCCTGAAACAAAATTGGATTGCCCCAGAAATTTGGTAGCAATAATTGACAAAAGATCCTTATAGGTTTGGGGTTCACCAACCTGGCTGCCAGAGTTGTAATAGAGGAAAAGGACATGTGCTTGAAAGCATATACCAAGAGAAAAGTGCCAAGGAGTATATAATGCCTTAATGAGACCAACTCTACTGAGCTAACTAAATTGGTAGACTGTTGAAATCAAAAATGTATAGTATGAAAACTATATAGAGATGGTACTGGGATTTAGTAAACTAAACAAGGATGATTAGTAACAATAGAAGTTATAAAAAATAAACATATTCCAACCCCAAGTATTAGATAATAACATGTATAAGTTACTAATTAAAACTAACCAGGTGCATATAGGTAGGATATATACTGTACATAGCCAAGATTACCTTCAGAGATAAAGTAGTTCTAATGATCATATATGCCTAGGTTATTAGGTTTTCATTTATGAAAGTAGTAAAGAATAATCAGAGAGTTTAAATAGACAACTCTGCAGTTTGGGCTGTAGGTATAGCAGCTAGTATAAAACTCTAAGTTAGTAGAATAATTTAGTTGTAAACTACTTAAATTAGGCACTAAAAATACACATCTGGCTAGTTACTTTCTCATTAAAAATCCTGAAAAAATTGTAACACTTAATAAATTAGCAATAAAGTTTTGACCAAATAGAGATCACTGTAAAAAAAAAAAATTAAAAATCTTAAGATTTGCAATATTTTACTAATTAATTATAATTTTATATACTACAGTTAGAGATTTTGTCTAAAATAGACCATGTAGATCGCACCTTGTATAGTATAGAAATGTTGATCACATATTTCTAGATTATTTAGTTGTACAAAAATTATGTGTGATTGACCAATTAAATTTAACTACAACAAAATTTGCTTATTAATTAAAAGAAGTTAGTTTCAATCTACCTTTTTTATAATTGTTTATTTTGAGAAATTAAATAAGATCATTTAAAGTAGATATTTTATATTAGCTATTTGTATATTGTTTGATATTGAATAAATAAGTAAAATATCAAATGATCCCATGTTGATAAAAAATATTACATGGCTAATCAAATTCATAAAATAATACAGAAATCATTCTAGAAAAATCTTCTTTAGAATAACTGGGTAATATAAAAATATTATAAGATTATAATATAAAAAAACACAAACTCTAACCCTAATCTAACTTTAATATACACTATAACCCTTATTCTAACTCTTACTAGTCCCAAATTTGTATAAATTAGATTAAATAGTTATTTATTTATATTATAATTTTATATATTGCCCAGTTATGATCAACCTAATATTGTTCAGCACCTGAAAATACATTAAATTAGTAAAATTTTTTTATTTTACTTTAAATTTGGAGAAACTATGCTTAAATTTAACTTTTTTGATCAAAATTCCAAAATCTTGCATCTATTCTCTAAATCTTAAGTAAAATAAAAATAATTCTGTCATATTGATGTATTTCTAGACACTGAACAAGTTTACTTAGTACATTAAGCTAGAATTAATTAATAGAAATCCATGAATTATAAGATTTTGTAAAATTTGATTAATAAAATTCTATAAAATCTTATGATTTGTAATATTTTACTAATTAATTCTAATTTCATGCACTAATAATCTTATTCAACACCTAAAATACATTAAATCAGTAAAATTGATTTTATATTGCTTGAAATTTGGAGAACTGATGCTTAAATTTGCTTTTTTAATCAAAATTCTAACATTATGCATCTATTCTCTAAATCTCAAGTAAAATAAAAATAATTCTGCTGTTTTGTTGTATTACAAGGCGCTGAACAAGTTTACTTAGTGCATAAAGTTAGAATTAATTAAAAGAAATTCGCGAATTATAAGATTTTATAAAATTTTATTAATAAAATTCTATAAAATCTTATGATTTGCAATATTTTACTAATTAATTCTAACTTCATGAACTAAATAATCTTGTTCAGCACCAAAAATTACATATAAACTTATTCGAACTCGGAGCAGTCTGCAGACTTCGGACCAGACCCGGACCAAACTCATAATTGAGTCTGAGTCTGGTCTGATCCCGGACCTGACTCGGACCGAACCAGACCCGAACCAGACCTAGGAGCACTAGCTATCATTACTGAATTTACCAATTGCTGAATTATTGAATATAATAATTTTAATGGCTGATTGTATTAAAAATTTAACAAAGTTATTTTTTTATCAGTAGAGATTGAAAAAATAACATGCGCCATGATCAAACTATACTTGCCACCCAAATTCAAAACTATTATAGTTTGGGCTTGCCCACGCCCAAACCCAAACTCAATCCCAAACCAATATCTCAAAAACTTTATTAATAATCTTCGTTTAAACAAATAATATATTTTTTTATAGCTACTGTTGACCCTCACAAAATCGATCTTCTCAAAATCGTTACCTGTCAAATTTGATAAAAGATTAGTCTACCAAATCCGTTTCCGTTATATAAATCTAATAGTTTATAATAAGTTTTCAAATCTGATAACCTCACAATACTGATACAAAATTTGTCCACCGTACATATCGGTTTTGGGAGGTTCTAAAGTATTTACAAAAATATTAAGATTATCTTTTTAATTTAATTTTTTATAAAAGCAATTTGTTTTTTGGTGTTTGAGATTTGTCCGGCTTTGACAGCAAATATAGATCAAACAGAACGTCATCAAAGTAATAAATACTGGAGATGCTTCAATTGTGGAATATGACAACTCTTTCGAACAACACCTATATATTTCGAATATAGTTAGATTCAAATTTTTGTGAATTCACAAATTGTTTTCAAGTCAATATTTGATTTCAGAACTAAAATAAAAAGAGACACTATGGAGATGCGCTATAAAACCTTGTATGTAGCAACGTGACATGATTAATTTGAATTTGTAAATTAATTCATGTGATATACTACACCGTTTTAAATCCAGAATTTTATATAATTAACGTTAAGGAAACTTAAATCGTACATCGATTAAAGATGGGTGACGAACCTATTTTTACGATGACGAAATGGCTTCGTCAATGGTTTCGTCAGACGAAACTTTGATGATTGATGAACTACTGACGATTGACGAAACATTTGACGAAATTTATTTGACCAATAAAATATAAAATACAGTTGAACTCCTTTGATGAGCTTCTAATGACGAACTTTGAATATTCTGAATCTTAAATTTTTCAAAATTATTATTTTATCATAATCAAGTTCACTCATTCATATGAAACATAGTAATTTTTTTAATTAGTGACGAACTTTTGTTCTTATTAAATCATCAGTTTGCTATAGAAAACTAACTCCATAAAGTTATTCATTCAAGGTACAGTACATCCGAATAATTAATGAAAAATGTCAAATCAAAGTGCCAAAAAAAAATAAAAATAGAAACATGTAATAAACTTCAACTGATTCCTAGAGAAATTCATATTTTTAATTTTTTTTTCTTATATTACGCCCGATGACATATATTATAAAATTTATGATCCGTTTCTAGCATTCGTCCATTAGTCATTTCGTCAACTCAAGACCCTGACGAAATCTTTGTATCGATGCTTTTGCGCGTCTTATTTTTACTATCATCGGTTTTGTGTCATTACGTAGTAAATGATTAGATTTTTATTGAAATTTTACAAAATTAAAAGATGACTTAGGCGAAATTTTAATCGGGTTCATTTATTATTATTATTATTATTTTAAAATACGAAAAAGTTCACATCTCTATCACGTAATCTGACTGAATGTGTTGCAACAAAAATAATTCTCTCAATTGTAAATTATAACGATGATTATATATAGAAAAGTAATTAATAATACGTATACTAATTTGTGCTAAGAGGAAAAAGAATACTTTTAATACTTTCTAAAAATAGAAAAAAAAATCTTTCAAAAATTTAAATGGTTATTCCATCATCCGTTTGCTACTTTATATGATATGATAAAAATACTCATAGTACCACCATAAGTTATCCACTAGCTTTCAAAATTTAAGAAATCAGCGGCCTTACTCCATAATAGGCTAGGATCTCTAGCGCTTTTATCGTCGTAATAAAGTCTATATTTAGAAGGTCTATAGGAAAAATCTAAAACCTCATTTTTTTTAAGAATGCTATAAGACTCGCTTACGGTAAATTGAAGCTCACCCGACACTGGAAAGCTAGGGATACCCTTAAATTTTTCACTCCCATCATAACCAAAAACTTCTCCACCGCTAAAAGAGGCAAATGATAAAGAAGTATTATATAAACCACCAACAGTGACAGTGGGAAATTGGCCTATCTCAGCTAAATATTGTGATATTAGCGCGCAGGCAGACCCACAATTTCCATTGGTTAAAATTATAGTATTGTTTCCTGTCCATGGATATTCCTTATTATTTTTAATTAATTTTAATTCGTCTCTATCAAGTGTAAAGTCGAATTTGTTGGAATATCTTGAAGTTTTACCGCCTCTTTTGATATAGTTCTTGCCTATAAAATTTTTTATACTAGAAAAATTATTTCCCGAAGGGAATGAAGAAAGAACATTTGGATCGAAATATTTTCCAGGTCCTATCAAAGGTTCAGTAATTTTTGTAATTTTTATATCATTTGGAAAAAAGCTAATATTATTTGGTGGAATAAGAAGAAAACATATGACTTGGGCTGCATCAACAACACCACCTGGATTATTTGATAAATCTATAACAAGCTGTTAAAGAATAAAATAAAAAAAATTAATTTAATTGAATTTATGAGATGAGAATAATATAATATCTCATTGAATTTTTATACCTTTTTAGCTTTTTTTTTGAATAACAATTGAAAACCTTTCTGTATATTACGCAGAGTATCAAATCCAAAATTTACACTAGTAAATTGGGCAACACCGATATTACCAATCAAGTAAAAATGTGCATTTTTTGCATCTAGAACTGGTTCAGGTTGAGATGTAGTGGCTTGATCATCACTCTGAGATGTAGTGGCCTGATTATCACTATGAGATGTAGTAGTCCGATTAAAAGTCGATTCTGAGATTAATCTTAACGATGTATTATTTTTTGCAGACTGTGATGAATTAGGTAAACAATTTTGATCAAAATAACTTTTGGTATCATTAAAATCAGTACTTTGACCCTGGAAGTTTATATCCCATTTTCTGACTAAATGGCGTTGTTCTCCAGAACAAAGTAATGTATAACTGATATTAGAGGTTTCAGGTAAATCAAACCTATGTGCAAATTGGTTGGACCCTTCAGAAACAAGCCATCTACCAAATTGCATAGTAAGAGAAGCCAATGCCTGATTAAATCGGACACCCAGATCTCTTGAATCTGAGACTTGCTCTTTAGCAAATTTTATGATCGTTTCTAGTGCATTCTGACCATTTATTTTTGTCACTTCGCAATTGTTATTTGATGAGTTTAAAAAGTCATCCATGATCTAATTAATGTAAAGCTAATTAAAATAATGATATTATGTTTATATGTTAATTATTTTATAACCCAAAAAGATAAATACCTTGATTTTCTGTTATTGCACAAAATAAATTATAAATTAGCTTTCAAAAATAACTACTGTAATCTCATTTGTATATAAAATTATTGTATACCTACCTGCTGATTATTAGGCGTGACTACTGAATACAGAGATAAAGATTGAGTAAATAAAATTTTGTTATAACAGTCGATTTCCAAAATCGTATGAGCGTCTTTTAATTGAGCAATTAGGTTTCTTAAAGTCATCTAATTATTTAAAGGATTACGTATTAGCTTTTTGCTATCATCCAGAGTGGAATGAGATATATTTTATTGCACT